CTGCTGGGGGCGGGCTTTGTGCAGTGTGGGGATGTGTGTGTGAGGGCAGCGTTAATACAGAGGCCCCACGCCAACAACCCCCCCCACACGCACCACCCCCCATAGACCCCATACACGCCCACACATCCCTAAAAATGCACCCCCCCCCACAAAAGCCATCCCCACCTGTCACAGTATACGAGAGTAATACTTCATTATGCAATCACCTCTATATAAACACTACACGAACACACACAAATTGAGACACATACTTTTTTGAAATAACATTTTTAAAAAGGTTATAATAGACATTTGATTTTTAGTGTATATTTGGAGGTTTTTCCTAGTTCCAACATGACGACGACCCCCCCCCCCCCCCCCCCCCCCCCACTGAGGATGAGAGTAGGGACTTCCAGTGCCAAAGGTCATGGGTGAGGGGCAGAATATCTGGTCCCAAGATGGGGACTAGGGGGCACCTGTCAAGGGCTGGGGCTACCCTTGCTCGTTAAGTGGTCCTCCAGCCAAAGTAATTCCCCACCCAGACTATAGATCATTCTCTCCTCAGTCCACAAGAGAGAGAATGGCAATAGGAATGCCTTGCTTAGTATGATCATTTTACAGTGGGTTTGACTAAAACCCTTGAACTACCTGAGCTTATCTCACCTCTTCTGAACATGCATCTCTGTTTAGGGTAAAAATAAAAGTCAAGTTGTCAGCTAGAAGAAAGTAATTCCCCACCCAGACTATAGATCATTCTCTCCTCAGTCCACAAGAGAGAGAATGGCAATAGGAATGCCTTGCTTAGTATGATCATTTTACAGTGGGTTTGACTAAAACCCTTGAACTACCTGAGCTTATCTCACCTCTTCTGAACATGCATCTCTGTTTAGGGTAAAAATAAAAGTCAAGTTGTCAGCTAGAAGGAAAGAAGAGAGACCAGGCATCTCAGTGTATTTGTATTCTCTTGGCCTCCCTTTGTAGACTGATATTTCTTACCGAGGAAGGTTGTTTATCAGGGCTGGTGTAGCTATGAATTTCACAGACATTTTGGATCATGCCCTGCAGATCTTAGTGGCACTTCTAAATGTTAGAGGTGCTAAGTATTTCTTTCCTACATTTATCTGTTCATGCACAAGTTAGCTGGGATTACATCGGGGCAGTGTTACTTAACTAAAACTTGTCTTTTCATTTTGCGATGCAGAGCCTCACAATGACACAAAGAGAGCCCCCGGAAGTAGTTTCTCCACTGGAAAATATAGAGGCTCAAACAGCCAAAATTCTGCAAGAGTTGTTTGAACAGCTTCCAGAAGAAGATCAGTAAGTGATACGCCCATCTCATTTTGCCAGCAAAGTACTTTTAAAGCCTTTTTTGTGATGTCTTGTCTTACTTTTGTATTTGAAAAACTTTCAGATATTTAGAAGCATATGATCTCCGTTAAATAAAGTTTTGATTGCACGTGCCCCTCCCAATCCAGTCCCAGAGGGAAGAGGAGCAGCAGGGATTGCCTAGAGGTGGGGAGTCCATACTGCTGCTCCCTCCTCCCATCCTGGACTGGTTTGGAAAAAGGGAGCTACTATTTGGTGGTTTGATCATTTTACAGTGGGTTTGACTAAAACCCTTGAACTACCTGAGCCTATCTCACCCCTTCTGAACATGCATATCTGTTCAGGGTAAAAATAAAAGTCAGGTTGTCAACTAGAAGGAAAGAAAAGAGACCAGGCATCTCAGTGCATTTGTATTCTCTTGGCCTCCCTTCCTAGACTGATTTTTTTTCCTACCAAGAAAGGTTGTTTATCAGGGCTTGTGTAGCTATAAATTCCACAGACTTTTTGGATCATGCCCTGTTGATCTCAGTGGCACTTCTTAATGTTTGAGGTGCTAAGTATTTCTTTGCTACATTTATCTGTTCATGCAAAAGTTAGCTGGGATTATGTCGGGGCTGTGTTACTTAACTACAACTTTTTTTATTTTGTGATGCAGAGCCTCACAATGACACCAACAGAGTCCCCGAAACTAAATTCTCCAACACAAAATTTAACAAATCCAAAAAGAAAAGTTCTGGAAGAGATGTTCCGACAGCTTCCAGCAGATGATCAGTAAGTGATACGCCCATCTCATTTTGCCAGCAAAGTACTTTTAAAGTCTTTTTTGTGATTTCTTGTCTTGCTTTTGTATTTGAAAACCTTTCACGTATTTACAAGTATATGGATTGGACAGACATTTATTAACGGACTAGGGTTAGGGGTTTTTTTTACTTTTCTAAACAAGAAGTCTGTTTATATTAACAGGAGGGAATTGTGGCCTTGTGTCAACTAAACTAGGTAGCGATGTAGGCAGCAACATGGAGCTTATACATGCTGGTGGAGGGAGGGAAGAGTATGGCGAAAACCGGGGCTTTACCTGGTCCAGCACACTCGCTTAGTAGCACAAAGGTACACAAGCCCTACTTGGTTTAACATTATCAATGGATTAGGAAGGAGGTTGTGATCCATTGGCACAGGGTGGTGGCCAAACCACAGTAGAGCCCACATATTCCTACCTGTTGTTGAGCACCTAGGTGCTCAACACCAGTCAATTATAAAAAGAAGTTGCAGTTTAAATGGATCAACAAAGGAACCTGTAACAAGACAATCTCTTCATAATTTGTTATTCCTCAGAGTTTTGGGCAGTCTAACAAAACTTGTTTAAGCATATTATACTCTGGTTTTGATGGATCTTGGACAGGACAGGAGCAGGCAGAGACATGAACCTTATTCTGGGTTGCCCTGACATGACCAGAGTTTATGCATCTGGAGAAAAACCTCACAGGAAGAGTTGTAAGGGACAGGGTGCCTCTTTGGTTGAACTAGAAGTCTGTGAAATAAAACTAAAGTCATTGCAGTCTCTGCCTAGCTTTTTCTCCCTTCAGATCACTTCCTTAAACCCCAGAGCAGAAACCTTTCTAAAGAGTGTAATACTTCTCCCTCTACAGCTCCTTTTATCTGCCTCAGTGAAACTCAGCAACTTCATAAGATTCTGAACCTAACTAGGTTGATCTCACTTTGTTTGACTTGACTCATTCTGGACTCTTTAGGGATCTAACCTCAAACCACCATACCACTGACTGGCTCAGGAGGGCCTCATAAAAGTGGGGTGGGGAGAACTTGTCTTAGAATCAAGTAAATATGATATATTGCTAATCAAGCAAATAAAATAGACATGTTTACTTCCATTTCTTGATTGTGTTACTGTACTAAAATAGAACCTTTCTGTTCTCTCATAGGGAAAATGAAAGCTCCCATGTTGCAAACCAATCTGGGCTAGCATAACCTTGTGTCGTCTCTGGAGCCTCACTAAATTTAATAGGCCTTGTGTGCTATAGAGGGCCATTCAGGCCACACGCCTAGATCTTCCTTGCAATAAAATTTTGCTTGCATGTGCCCCTCTCAATCCAGTCCCAGAGGGGAGAGGAGCATCAGGGATTGCCCAGGGGTGGGGGCTTTGTACTGCTGCTCCCTCTTCCCATCCTGGACTGGTTTGGAAGAAGGGAGCAGAGGGGCAATGCTCCCCCACCTCTTCCCCAGACCAGGAGCCCTGGTGGGGCTGTGGGCATGCAGCTCTTAGTGTCATATAGAGAGAAGCTCAAAAATTTTCCCCGCTAGAAGTCAATGCCTGTTTGAGGCACCAGACACCTCGATGGCCAGGATCAGAACAACAGAAAGCACCAGTAGCTTTTCCCCGCTAGAAGTCGATGCCTGTTTGAGGCACCAGACACCTCGGTGACCAGGATCAGAACAACAGAAAGCACCAGTAGCTGTGGGAACCTGCCATCCTGATCCTTGTGTCCTCTCAAATTTGTTCCCACCTAAGCTATTGTACTATGCCTGACTTTGTAACATTAGGCAGGGAGCATAGATCAAAAGCTGGGAACTGAAGATGGTCAGGAGTTGGATAGAAACGTATTCCTCTTTTCAGAAATGCCTGCTTGCTCAAACGTTGTGTGAGAATGCATTTGTGGATGCAGTTTTCTGTTGAGAGACTTGCCCGCCCGCACCCACAGCAAAATAACCCGGTGATTCTGGCTTGTGTTCAAAATGAAAGAAATCCAAGGTCAGGCCCCTGCTCTATCTCATTTGGAGCAGATACCTTACACCAGGACTGCTACATCCCAGGGAAGTGCCCTAAGCAGAGACAGTGACAGAGACAGATACCAGTGGTTCTCAACTTTCTTAAACGCAAGGTACCTCTCAGAAAATACCAGCTCTTAGTTTTCCCTTGTTTTTTGGCAACAAAAACATAGAGCAGTTCTTCGGTTGCAAAAAGCTCAGAAGGACCACGACAGGACAACATGTTTTAACACTATGAAAGCCTATTTGAAATCTCTAGGTTTGACTAATGAAGCATGTTTGCTTATGCAACAGTGCTAACATTGCTCAAGGCACCTCAAGGTGCCACAGCACTTTTGCTCAAAATCATCTGTTGACCCAGAGCAGAAGAGATGGAGCAGAAGAGCTCTGAGAGAGACTGATTGGATAGCTCAGTGGCTAGGGCAGTTCTACATTCAATTTAGTGTTGCAACATAGGAAGTAGGGAAACAAGAGAAAGGATTGAAGGTAAGAATGTGGAACTTAAGCAGTTACCCTGTTGCTTCAGATCAAATGTCATTCTTGGTAACACATGTTAATACTTGTCTCTTATAATCTCTAACAACCTTCTTTAATCAGTCTTCACTTGTTTTTGTTTACTAAATTTCTGCCTCTAGGATTAGCAGTATCAAAACAGGTTGGAACAAAGGGCAAAGGGCTAATTTTGGGTAGGATGGAAGGTGGGGCTGGACCTAATAAATCCCTTCACCTTGCCAACACATTGATTTCATAAATGAAGCCCTTCATGACCTCAGGGAATTGAATGGGACTGTACCCAACCCTAGTTCTTTGTCTGTCTCTGCTATTTAGAGTGTCAGTTCTGAGGCAAGGTCTGTATCGTATCTGTTCAGACAAAGCCTGGTACATGTTGCGATATCAATTATTTGTATCTTTATCTCATTCTTTTTTTATTATGCCACCTCATTTTTCAGTAGAGTTCTACATAAAGACTGAAGGCATTGGCCATGGTTAAACAAGTTGGATGTAACTTTTAACATAGATATGAAAGCTTGACTCAAAATACCCTGACAAACCCTGTATCACCAAACTGGGTTAGCTTTTGCTGTCTAGTCGGGGGTAATTAAATTCCAGTCTAAGCTTTGAGAAAGCTTTAGGTATGAGGTCTTTGCACCTGGACCAGGGGTTAGCATGATATTATATGTACCCTCTTTTTTTCTGTCTGCAGCCCTTTCATTAGAAGGTAATTGTTGGGACACCTTTTCTTTAGTTAATAAAGATGACTGTTTTCAGGACCTCTTCGTCCCAGTACCAGCTTAGATTCTTACTCCTCAAAAATTGCGTTCTTGGTCTGCAAATGGGCCACATCCATCTACCTGCAACTACTTGTGTGTGTCCATATTCTCTACTCTGGCATGCATACAATCTCCTATTGCCATGGTACTTTAGTTTCAGAAGATAACCGTTCCTCCTCAGAAGTCACGCATCCAGTTGTTTCTACTTTATATAAACTTAAACTGTTGTTCATTCTTGGTTCTTACCATTGTCATGGTAGTCTCTGAAGCATGAGATTCTGTCCTTTTGTGAAATTATCCAGGTCCTGTTCCTTGAACAGTTCATTGTAGTAATAGGATGGAGAAGGCAACCTTCATCTCCAGTGCAAACAATCTTTTCTCTTTTCCACAGGGAATTTTTGCAACGTGGCTCAATCTTCCTTGGACTAAATGCAAGCGTGTGTGGCTTAATAGCAAACAGTTCATTCAGGAAAATCCTAAATATCTCACAGGCTCGTATAGTATCTACATTGCCAACTATTTTCATCCCATTAACCTCAACATACGTAGCTTGCAGCAGTTTAATAGTCCAGCCTTTATTGACAGGTAAGCTTGTTGCTCAGTCTTATCATGGGCATTGTTGTGATGTTTCCTACATGAAATTACATACAGTTGTCAGTGAGTTCGCTGCCGAAAAGTTCATGCTCTTTGTAAAACGGTGAACTGCTGAAGTGTTAAAAACCTTGCATTGTATGAGGAGCAGGGTGGAGGTGCTAGAGCAAGGCCTGAAGCAAGCAGCTTATTCTTTAAGCTGAATGGAAGAGGGTGTCTGTCAGGCATGCACAAACAGAAATGCTCTGAAGGATTCCCTGGCTACTCTGAAAGTTGGGGGCAGGGGAGGCTGTGTGGAATGTGCTGCAGGCAGTGACCCTTCTGGGGTGGCTAGAGAGGAGGCTTCCAGTGAGGAGAGGGGAAATGGAGGTCCCAAGTGGAAGGAGCTGGCTGTGACTGAGAGGAGGTTGATCCTGGGAGATTATCACAGGAACTGTGATGAGGGTGCATCTCTGGGAGCACCCCAACAGCCTAGGGTTTTGTCACACTGTTCATAGGACACGTTTTTTCTGACTTAGAGCTTGTAAATGGATCCATCTGAAAATATCCTGGTATCAGGCTATTTAAAATTGATACTTGGCTGCATTTCAGTATGTTAAGGTCATGAAGAGTGCAGTGGTACAGCAATCCAAATTAAGTGACTTTTTATTAAACCATGTAGGTAGCTGAATGGCAGAGCATCTCAACAGAAGAGGTAACCTCCTTTTTTAGGTTATTTAATACTCAGCTGAAATGATGCTAATGGTTGCCCTTCATTGAGCCTGCCCCTTGAATTTACATTAGAATATAAATTAGACCAGGGGCAGGCAATTATTTTGGCTGGAGGGTCACTTAGCAAGTCTTGGTGAGCTGTCAAGGGCCACATGAGTAGCCCCGCCCCTGGTCACCATATTGGGACAGGAAATCCCACCCCCTAACCCCTGAGCTTTGCCACTAGAAGTCTCTCCCCTTGCCCCCCAGAAATACTCCTTTTGGGAAGGGGGTAGGGAGGTTGCATTTTAGAACCAGTAAAAAACAAATCATACACTAAAGGTCAAACACCGGCTATAACATTTGTTAATTTTATTGCAAAAAATATTTGTCATGATTTGTGGTTGTGTACTGTACGTAGGAGGGATTACATACTTTCTCAGAAATGAAGTCTTACTCTTGTATATTATGTGTGTCTGGTTGGGTGTGAGAAGTGTATATGGTGGGGTGTGGAGGGGGTGTGGCTGTGTGGTGAGCATAGAGTCTCTTGGGATGTGTCTCTATGTTGGTAGGAGTTGTGGAGGCAGGGTGAGGGAGGGTGGGGAGACTCCCCACACACACACTCCCTCCATGGAATGCAGCCCCTGCTGTTGACAGCAGCAGCAGGTGGGCATGCTCGAGGCGCTCATGCCTGCACAGGTGCTGGCACCCAGCAGGGTGCAGCTCCAGCCAGTACTGCATGGGAGTGAGGAGCGCAGCCTACCCAGCCCGCCTCTATTGCAGAGGTTGTGCACAGCGTGCTTGCACCTCCTGCACTCGCACCAAGGGAAGCCCCGTGCTGGACTCGGTGAGGAAGCAGGGGTCGGGGCTCCTTCCACTCCCAAGGAGCCCAGGGACCTGCACAGCAGGGACGAGGAAGGCAGCTAGCTCCAGCATGGGGCTTCCCCTGGTGCGAGTGTGGGAGCTGCAGGCACACCACACAGAGCCCCTGCGTTAGAGGCAGGCCAGGCAGGCTGCTCTCCTTCCTTCCACACCCACAGTGGCTGGAGCTGCGTGCTGCCAGGTACCACTGCCTGTGCTGGGCACGAGCATCCCAGCCTGCTGCTGGTCCCTACACCTCCCTCACACTTATGCCCTGCCCAGCTGAGCTCCATGCCCCTGCCATCTCTCTGGGCATGGGCTCTGCACTGCTCCATGTTTCTGCCCAGCTGCATCTGAAGCTCTGCTCCCCCCACTTCCCTAGCTGCTGCTGGAGCAAGCTGAGCACTGGGGAAACTGAGCAGGTTCCCATGGGGTGGGTGCAGCAGGGACAGCAGAAGCCCTGCCCAGAATCTTCTGCTGGTCAGGCCGGGCCCTTTTGGCCATGAGGGTGGGAGTGAAGTACAATAGGGTATGTTGGGAGCTATGCGTGGGCTCCTTGCTCCAATCCTCGAAGACAGAAGGGCTGGGCAGGGTACAGTTCTCTGGGGGTGCCGCAGGCTGGATGAAAGTGCATGGCAGGCCAGATCCAGCTCATGGGCCGTATTCAGCCCTAAGTTACTCATATGTCATCTTTCCATGGATATGTCTTTTGTCATCTAGATGATCTAAATTGTTTATCCTGCGCTGTAGTCAGAGGAGGATTCATTGGGTCTGTTGTAGGTGCTCTGTACCCCGTTACATTGGCTTTGTTTCTAAATGGAGCCCTGGCAGCAAGGTAAGTCTTATGACTTCAACATTTTCTGAATCCTGAAATCACTTATTTTAATCTAGAGCAGCGATTCTCAAACAGATCCATTTAAGGATGTCACCTAACATCAGCACTGCTGGGGGAACAACCACCTACACACGATTCGCAAAACAGTGCAAGTGAAAGCTAAGAGCTGACACTTGCCAAGGGGTGCCTTGCGTCTAAAAAGTTTGAGAACCACTGCTCTAGAGTGTGTCAAGGAATGCATGCTTGGCTCTTTTGGACTTTTTAATAGCCAAAAGGATTGAAGATGGTCCGTGGGCAGACCCTATGAGGCGAGGCTACGGGACCGGCCAAAAGGATTGAAGATGGTCCGTGGACAGCAGGGCAGACCCTATGAGGCGAGGCTACGGGACCTGAACCTCTTCAGCCTTCACAAGAGAAGGCTGAGAGGGGACCTGGTGGCTGTCTATAAACTTACCAAGGGGGACCAGCGGGTAATGGGAGACACCCTGTTCACCCATGCACCTCCCGGAGTAACAAGGAATAACGGCCATAAGTTGTTTGAGAGTAGGTTCAGGCTGGATATTAGAAGACACTATTTCAGAGTCAGGGCAGCTAGGATCTGGAACCAACTTCCAAGGGAAGTGGTTCTGGCTCCTACTTTGCGGGTATTTAAGAGGAAGCTTGACAGTTACCTAGCTGCCGTGATATGAGTCCAGTATTCTCTCCTGTCCAGGGCAGGGGGTCGGACTTGATGATTTACTTGATGATCCCCCTGGCTTCTCGCCTGAGCCGCTGCAGGCATGTGCCTGCATTTCCCTAATCAAAAATGAATCTCTCCCCACTTAGAAATTGGTTCATTCTCTGCAGGCTAGACTAAGCTGCCAAGATTGAATCAATTCAGGATCAAGCTTAAAATATGCTTTCTAAACATGGCAAGTGTGAAACGGGTGGGAAATGGATGAGATCAATTTGTGCATCTCATCTTGAAGCAAGTACTACTTCCCACTTGCTAAAAACATTTCTCTTACCTAAAATTCTAATGCGTACTCTATTTTTTGGAGGGCATAGGGATAGGAGCTGCCACTTCTTTTAACCATATTCTTAACTGTTACTTTATCAGCTAATTTACATTTACTACATGGTGTTATTGATGTTGCAAAGTAACAGACTGCTGACTTTCTCATTTTATTTAGGTACAGCACGGCTCCCTTGCCACATTTAAGGAGTTCGTTACGCTTCTGGATCACTGCTTCTAGACCAGTCTTTAAAAAGATGAGTCTTGTCCTGGCTCTACAAACCATGGCTGGAGCTTACCTTGGATTCCGCAGTCATGGAATATATCTTAAAATGTTTCAGATACCTCAAACTAAAAATGGCCTTAAAGATTAAATGTGATAACTAGACAACCCTCTCAGCTGCTTTCCGGGAAATACCATAATAAAAATGGAACTGATGGGGGAAGACATTGAGTTGTAAGTAGAAATGCAAGTCAAGATTTGCATTGATGTGGTCCTTGAATTCAAAATCTTCTATTATAACTTGCCATTTTCATTGATGCTTCTTTTGAAAGAGGAAAAATACCAACATAAACACAGCGTAAAGAGAGTAGTCCATAGTTCAGTTATGACCGAGGCGTCTGCCGTATGTGGCTAAGTATTTGCTGCTCAAAAAGCCTGGCGTGAAAGATGCTTAATTTGTCTGATCCCATTTGAATGGAAGTATAGAGCCCACCTCCATTCATTCATATCATATATGTCTTTGCTTTAACTACATTGAACCAGATGGCACATTTGCAGTAGATTGGATTAGGACCAAAAAGAGAAGTTCCACCCTTGTTAACCTTTAAGGGAGTACTGAACCACATCTTCCCCGTCTTGAATTCTTCCATTCACAATTTTTCCTCCTCCTTTAGCAGGCCTTTTTTTTAGGTGGCTTGCAGGTTGAACTTAAGCAGTCTCATCTGTTTCACATACCGTACATGGAAAAGTACCTGTTAATGCAGTTACAAAACAGGAACACTTTTTAAATACTGTTTTTGCACCCAACTCAAAGTATGAGGTACATGCTTAATGTTACATGCCAAAAAAACCTTTATTTATATTTTTTTACCACAGCTTAAGTATAGTAATTATTTCACCTGTTGACAGGTTGTGAGGATCAAGCTATTCTAAGAACGAAGCTGATATTCACTGACTTAGGATCATTTTCTACTTTGTCTGTTTGTCCAGAGTATGCCAGTGACGCTCTGCTCCTCTCTTCCCATGAAATATCACTGAACAACAAAAATACGACTTTCCGTCCTGAAATGTTTTCATTTATTTTATGCATCAGTTAATCTAAACTATCAACGTTTTAAGTGGGACCAATGTCGTCTGCTTTGTTGTGATGTGATAGGCAAGGACAGTGAGAGAAGTTGGTCTGGAGTTACCAGAATGGAGTTGAAATTGGCATGGGAACCTCAGTCTCCCTTCTCGGCTCAGCTCATTGAACAATGCCTCTTGTATTTAGTCTTCATCTTTCTCAGGGTTGTTTCATACCTTTCGGCTAGGGACAGTCCATCTTTGCAGGCTAGTCTAACCCACAGAAAATGAACTGATTTTTAAGTGGAGAGACATTCACTTTTGCTTCAGGACATGCCTGCAGTGACTCAGGCTAAAAGCCAGGGGGCTCTAGGGTGAGACTTCCCTTCCCTTGCGCAATGCTGAGCTGGAGGGCTCGGGCATGATAAGGCCCTGGCAGGAGGCTGTGATTAGAGAGGGGTTTGAATCCCCATGCTTGCCTGCACCGTCCCCAGCTAGGGTGTGCCTGGAGGGGGAAGCCACCCTCATGGGTACTAGTGTAGAGGTATTGGTGGGGGAAACTCAGGTGCACATGCTCAAATCTTTGCTGAAAGACCCTCCCCCCCCCATTTCTCACTTCCATGCTAGGCTGTGACACCACAGAGGCCACTAAAAGCAGTCATTCCCTTCAGAAGATAACAGTCCTTCACCAGTGTGGCTATGCCAGTGGCTGCAAAGAGAACCGAGAGTCAATAGACTTGACGTGATGTGTGTTATTTTAGAAACTTAAGATAACAGAAAATACCTTCTTTAGCATTCTTTCCAGCTACTCAGGAAGTTTCTCCCAAACTTGTTCCTCAATCTTCTGGAAGTCTCCTGCCTGCTGATCAGAAGTCATCCCCTTACCTTTCACAGCTCCTTAGTTTTCTCCAAGGGCTTTTTATACCATCTCCTTACTGACCTTAGGATTGAGGCAGAGCCCCCAAGACCGTCTCTGGGGCCCATATACAGGATCTACTCTGTCTAACTGTGAGGCTTGGAAATGAGTAGAGATATAACCCAAGCATGAATATACCCCAAATCTATACTGCTCTCCTGTCAGAGCTGGTGCTTAGAAAGAGTAAATGTCCTGCATGTGTCCTGGCACTGAGATGTGAATAGCCAAAGATGAGGTAACTACTTTCCAAATGAGGGTGCCAGAATGCTAAGCCCCTAACTAAAAAGAGCAGCCATCGAGCCCAGGTGGTAATTGTTACTCAAGAAAGACTTACCCCTGCTGACAGCCAAGGTTGGGACAAGAACCTTAGGCAACTGCATGCGTTCTTCTGCACAGTTTAAAAAAAAAAAAAAAAAAGGTTTGGACCATATGCATACTCAGCATATTGTGAGAGTTCACCTACCCAAGTGTCTGCGTGATACAAATACTTTAATAAATTCCTAGTGGACCAACCCCTGGCAGCTCCACCCATTCCCGCACAAGTGGAATAGCCAGTTCTATAAGAAAAACTTTTGTGCTGTACGTCCTGCAATCCAGAATGCCTCCTGGATGGCTTAGCCAAGAATACACCTTTGGGCTGGTGCAAGTAGAATGAACTGAGGCTGTTTTGTTGTATTGGTCTCACTTTTTCAAAAACAACATAGAACCTTTTAAGTACAAGAAAAGGATGTGGTTCTATAGGGGCTCCCTCCCTTCCCAAAGGGAGAAGGTGATTTACCCACAAGTCACACACCAAGGTAAAACTCAGGTATGAGTCTTTATTGCAATGAATACAACACACACACACACAAGGCGCTAGTGTGTCGGGCAGGAGGAAAGGCACACCCCACCGTGTCCTATATTATTACCTGATGGGTCCTCCACTTTCCACTAGCCTTTCACACAGGCCACAAAGGGGAGTTTCACTGAGAAATGGTGGGCTCCACCAATCTGGCTTGCAATAATCCCTGCACCATTTCACTCACCCCTTTTTCAGCCCCGGGCATCAATGGATAGGGATGCACAAAACATGGCTTCACTCCCTTCTCCAATTCAATTTGTTTTTCAACCTTGGTATTAACCGCGTCCCATTCTGAGTGGACCCATGGCCTGTCTGTGGCATGGGAACCTCCTTTTCTAGGGCCATCGCTCTGGCAGGGCCCATCTATAACACAGTGACTCAGGACGTTGGTTCCCAATATCCATATTGGGTGTCGAGTTGTGGTCACTACCGTTGGGACCTCCCGCCTCCCTACCTTCACCATACCTTTAATTTCCTGTCTTCTAATTGCTCCACCCCCCGACCCTTTTCAGCACTACAGGGCATCCATTGGGGGGGTGTTCCCATCTGTCCCTGTATCCATCAGGAACCACCCTGCCACCTCCCCCCCTTCAGTCAATCTGGGCAAAAAGGTACCTGCTGGAATCCCTGGGGATTCATCCCACCAGAAGCCAGGGTGGGGACATCCCTTGCATCCCCTCTCCGGGGCCCCCCTAATCTAAATGTAAATCATTCAAGTCACGGTAGAGCCCCCCTGGAGTCTTGGGCTCCCGTCCTAAGGGTGGTGCCGAAGGAACAACCGCCACGGCACAACAGCCCTCCTCCTTTCCCCCAAGGTTATTTTCTTTCCAGAGTCTATACAACTTACTTGTGGGCTTCCCATCAATTTGCTCCAACAGGATCCCCTTTTTTCTCAGCTCTATCCATAGCTGTCAGCGGGGAATATTCTTCGAATTCCCCGACATCTTTATTCTCGCCACCTGTTTTAGTTTTGGGTGTTCCCCGGCCAAATTGATCAAAGTCTGCAACCCCTTTATAATATTTTTCAGAGGTGGGTTCATCCAGGTATCGTATCGTTGCATTAGAAGACCCTGCAAGGGACCTGTCCCCTTATGAAGGGTACTTTCCCATGCGGTCCTAGTGACTATGACCCTTAAGGGATCATTCTCTAACTGGTCCCCCAAAGCTGCTTCAATGAATGCATCCCCACTTAATTGGTGTACGGCCCCCCCCAATCTACCCACTTTGGTTCTCTAGCATGTCGATCCCTGGACAATTCCCAGTCGTCCAGTGATTTTAATGCAAATCCCATTAGCTGCTATGTATAATATCCTGACTCATTTGAATTTATTCTCAGGGAGGCTTGTGCTGACTTGTACTATTCCCTGGTGAATATTTTTGCTAACACAGCCAGTGACTCTTGGGGAGTGAAAAACTTATCTAACCCATGGGCTACTACCCAATTAGCCCACATAGCCCAGGTTTCCTTTGTGTCTTTCGCCCAACCCGGTAGCTCAATTCGGAGGTCAGTTGGCTTCCAGGGAACCATTTCCCAATCTTGCCCAGTAGTTTGTCCAGTTGTATCCTGTTGTACCCTGGTTTTCATCACAGCGCTTACCTCTGGCCTCCTCAGAGGAGAATCTTCCTCCGAAGGGGTTGTTTCCTCTTCTGTTCCTGGAACGGAGAGGGCAGGTTGGTCACCCTGGTCCCTGACCAGATCAGTTGCCACCACCTCTCACCCCGCCCCTGTTTCCAGATCCTCTGCTGGCAACAGTCCCCACCATTTCCCACAACAAAGAAATAGCACCTTTTAGTAACACAGTTTTCCCGGGCTTTCTGCCTATTTGCCACTGAGCAAAAACTCCTTCCACTGTGGCGAGGGACCTGAGGTCCCTTAACCCGCAGGACATCCATGGACGCAATTTTTACTAAGCTCCACCAGAGTCGTGGTTTTTCCCCGGTACGTGAACATCTCCACTACTCCTCAGACACAACTGGCCAGGCTGCCCTTGAGGAGGGGTCTTTCTTGCCCGCATTCTCCACTACTTGTAGGGGCTCCCTCCCTTTCCAAAGGGAGAAGGCGAGTAACCCGCAGGTCACACGCCAAGATAAAACTCAGGTACGAGTCTTTATTGCAATGAGTACAACACACACAGTTATTATTATCATACCCACAAGCAGCTAGCGTGTCAGGCAGGGGGAAAGGCACTCCCCACCCTGCCCTGTATTATTACCTGATGGGTCTCGGGATCCCCACCCTGCATCCAGGGTAGCAAGACTAGCTCCTTTATCAGGTCCTCAGCCTTGTACTCCCTGAAGTAGTTCCGCCCAAGCCTTTATTCTTATGACCTTTATACCTTTCTGCCTCCCATCTCCATTGGATCCTCCAATCACACAAAGCTTCTAGCCTTATCACCTTTTACAGGTTAGAGCAAGCCTCATCATACGCTGCAAAGCAGGGTCAGCTCGGGCCTTGCCGCAGTACCCCTTTCCAGAGCCGTTATTTCGGATACTTCTCCAGAACAGTTAGTTACATAAAGCAGTTCCCCTTTTCTTACTTTCAGCAGATCAGCAGATGCATTAGGTCATGATCCCATGGCCTCCGGGTTCCGCGAAGCTGACCCCCCGCTTCGAGGTATCAGTTTGGCCTCCACCCAGAGGCCTCTTTGGGACGGGCCTCACAGGTTCATATAGCAGAAAGTTCTTCATTAGTACATTTTTTAGTCACCTACATGCTTGTAGTTCAACTTGTAGTTTGCAAGATATTTGCAATGAAAAAAAGAACAGAATTTAGTTGCTGCGCTGTAACACTCAGGATGAGAATGCTGATTCGAGACAACGATTCAGTGCAGAAACATTTCATCAAGTGTAAAAATCTAATAAGTCAGTCTATTAGGACATGGAAAAACATGAGTGTAACACATAGTTACTGGCTAGTTGCTATTTCAAGCCTAATATTGAAACGTGTTTCTCGCTCATTTTAAGCGACATTAGGATAAATGCCTAATATTGAAACGTGTTTCTCGCTCATTTTAAGCGACATTAGGATAAAACTGAGATTCAGGTTAAGGATGCAGGTTCTCTCTGACTACTCAGCCATCTGAGTTCTGCTATTTAATAACCCATGTTATCTCGAAAGATACTTTATACTTTTTCTGAGACCTATCGAGTAGAAAGAGGAATTTTAAATTGTAAATCGACTTGGTTTTCTGCTTCTTCCAACTGAGAAACTAGCCTCATTTGTATGCCCTTATAAAAAAAAAAAAACCCGAAAATGGCTGGGTTATGGTTTGTAATAGTAGCTGCATCATACAAATTGGACACCGGTTTTCAAATTATTCCTCTAGCACATTTGGAAAAGGTCTATTAAAATCTTTAGGCCAGAGGAAAGTGTTTAAAATCCTAAAGTCAGCAAAAATAAATGTAGGCATTTGTTTTAGTTGCATCTTTTGTCTTGTAGTAGTTTACCATTGCAGCAAAAACAAGTCACACAAAAATACACACTATTGCTTTCCTGTATTGTAAAAGAGAAATTATTGTCTAAACAAAATAAACAGCTCAAATCTCTGGCAGTCAAAGCAAAAGCAGTGCTCTTCCTATCAGGTCCCCTACGACCAACTCAGAGCATCTGCTCCAGCATCACACTCAAGTTCTCCAGACAATTCAGTTTGTGATTTCTTGTTCCTCAATTTCCCAAACAGGTTTTTTAAATTTTTGCTGCCTGAGAACAGCAACCATGAGGTTAGCAAAATGCAGGACAATAAATCATCCACAGCCTGGCTTAAGCATGGTTTAAACAAGGACTGCCCCCTGCCTTCCTCTTTTCAAATTACCTTTTGTATTCCAATCACGCATCCCACTTTACACACTGCTCTGTACTGTCCTTTTACAACATCTGATGAAGTCAGCTCAATTTTACGAAAGCTTCTGCTCTACATATAATTTTTTTTAGTCTGTAAGTGGCACTCCATCTTTTGACTGAGTCATGCACTTGACTGCATGGTGCCAGGGGCTGGATCTGGCTTGCTGGCTGGGGTTGTGTACCCCTGGTTTATAAGGTGTATAGGTGGTCAACATCTCTCCCACATACAAACATTTAATCTATTATAAGATATCAACAAATCTTGCTTGCATTTTCTCTGGGGCCATCATAACGGCCCTTCATTTAGGAAAGCAACTAACACGGTTTGAATGTTCTGCAGCAATGAGAAGAGACAGGACCAAAGAAGAATCCAAGTCACACTTACAAACCTTCCACTCTTAGGTTCCTGGTTTATTTAATATAAATTGTTTTACTGGTTCAGAGTGCCACAT